GCTTGAGGGCAGGGATGAGGAAGAGATGAGGATTCTGCGATAAGCTCAGTGAGAAGCAGATACCTGCAGTTTGCTGAGAGGTGGTTAAGTAAACTGAGAAGACAATTGGTGTCTTGGAAGGTAAGCTGAAGTGCACAGAGAGGAACACTTGTGTACACAGAGGATGCTGGGCCAGGTTCATGGGGCATGAAGGGGACCAGGGCGCCCCTTCCCTTCCGGCCACGCCTCCCGCAGAGCCTGATTCTCCCTGCCTGCCTGGTGCTGAAACAGAGGGCTGCTCTGTGCAAAGCTGCCTCCTCCCCTGCCACCTCTCTGTCACCACGTGGTTTTTGTTTTCGTACACACTTGCTTCTGCCTCTTCCCGGAGATGCCAGCTGGGCTCAAGGCCCGGTACGTTTGGGAAGCGTTTAGGGACGCAAGCACAACACAAAATGTCTTTTAAAAGCGTGGTATGAGCCCAGGAGCACTAGCTGTTTTTCCAGAGGACCCTGATTCAATTCCCAGCACCCAAATGGCGGCTTATAACAACCTGTAACTCTGGGGCCAGGGTAATCTGATGTCCTAGTCTGGCCTCTGCCCTACCGGGCACACAAGTGGTGGACAAGCATACATGCAGGTAAATAACTAGATACATTAAAAAAAAAAAACAAAAACTAATTTTAAAAAGCATTCTGTGATACACGCATTTATTTTGTAACAGCTTTGTCATTGTAGCAATTTATAAGATTTTTATTTTACAGCTTAGAAGAAGCAATCTAATTTCTTTCTTCTTTTTGGAAGATGTCTTCTGCACAGAGGAGGAAAACAGCTATCAGCTTGCCCTACCGACAGCCAAAGAGAGCCCACGGTGTTGGGAAAGCTCAGCTCTCTGTACAAGATCCAGTCAGTCAGGAAAGGGGGCTCTATGAAGAGTTGGCTCTGGACAAGACTAATTCTGCACTGTCACACTTTCTAACTTTAGGTATCTTTGGACACATCATTTTTCACTTTTCTCATTAGAAGTAACCAAATATTCTGGATATTAGCCCTCTATGGGACGTCGGGTTGGTGAAGATCCTTTCCCAATCTGTAGGCTGTCGTTTTGTTCTGGTGACAGTGTCCTTTGCTTTACAGAAGCTTTTCGGTTTCATGAGGTCCCATTTAGTGATTGTTGCTCTTAGCGCCTGAGCTATTGGTATTCTGTTCAGGAAGTTGTCTCCTGTGCCAATGAGTTCAAAGGCTCTTCCCCACTTTTTCTTCCAACAGATTTAGTGTGTCTGGTTTTATGTTGAGCTCTTTGATCCACTTGGACTTTAATTTTGTGCAGGGTGATAAATATGGGTCTATTTACATTTTTCTACATGTAGACATCCAGTTAGACCAGCACCATTTGTTGAAGATGCTGTCTTTTTTCCATTGTATGGTTTTGGCATTCTTGTCAAAAATTAGGTGTCCAAATGTGTGTGGGTTTAGAAATTAGACACCAACAAACCGAATAATCCAATTAAAAAAATGGGGTACAGAGCTAAGCAGAAAATTCTCAACAGAGGAATATAGAATGGCAGAGAAACACTTTTTAAAATGCTCAAAAGTCCTTAGTCATCAGGGAAATGCAAATCAAAACAACTCTGAGATTCCATCTTACACCCATCGGAATGTCTAAGATCAAAACCTCAAGTGATAACACATGCTGGAGAGGATGTGGAGAAAGGGGAACCCTACTCCACTGCTGGTGGGAGTGCAAACTTGTACAACCACTTTGGGAATCAATCTGGTTCTTTCTCAGAAAATTGGGAATAATTCTATCTCAAGGTCCAGCTATACCACTCCTGGGCATATACCCAAAAGATGCTCTACTACACAACAAGGACATTTGTTCAACTATGTTCGTAGCAGCTTTATTTGTAATAGCCAGAAACTGGAAACAACCCAGATGCTCCTCAACTGAGGAATGGATACAGAAATTGTGGTACATCTACACAATGGAATACTACTCAGCTATTAAAAACAAGGAAATCATGAAATTTGCAGCAAATGGATGGAACTAGAAGATATCATCCTGAGTGAGGTAACCCAGAAACAGAAAGACAGGCATGGTATACACTCAGTTATAAGTGGTATCTTAGCCATATACTATAGGACAGCCATCTACAGACCTAAAGAAGCTAAACACTAAGGAGGACCCTAGGGAGGATGCTTAAATCTCATTCAGAATGGCAAGCAGTATAAACACCAGAAGCGGTGGAAGAAAGGAAACAGGATGGAGGCCTATTATACAGGGTCCTCTGAAAGGCTCCACCCAACAGGGGATCAAAGCAAATGCTGAGACTCAGGGCCAAACTTTGGGCAGAGCGCAGGGAATCTTATGGAGGAAGAAAGGGAATAGAGGGACATGGAAAGGACAGGAGCCCCACAAGGAGACCAACAAAACTAAAAGATTTGAGCCCATGGGGGGGGCCTGTAGAGACTGATGTACCAACAGAGGACCATGCATGGAGAGGACCTAGACCCCCTGCTCAGATGTGGAAAATTGGCAGCTCAGGCTCCATGTGGATCTGTGAGGGAGGGGAGCAGGGGCTGCCTCTATCATGAACTCAGTTGACTGCTCTCTGATCACTCGGCCCTGGCAATGAGGCCTTGCCAGGCCATGGAGGAAGAGGGTCCAGGCAGTCCTGATGAGACTTAAGCTATAGGCAGATGGCAATGGTAGAGAACTCCCCCTTTCAGTGGACCCCGGGAAGGGGGTGGGGGAATAAGGTAGAGAGGGTGGAAGAGGGGGAGCTGAGGGAGGGGGCTTCAACCAGGATGTATAATGAACAAATTGTGAAGAAAAAATTAAAATAAAAAAAAAAGAAGTAATCAAATTAGAGTGTTGAGGCCTCCGAGACCACCCCTTGATTCTACGTCACCCTGACGCTCAATGGCAGTCTGGAGACCAAGATTGTTCTGAGTCTCTCCCCATTATCACCACTCACAAAAAAGTACCATGCGCTCCTCGATGCCGAGAGGACACAGGGTGCTCTCCTGACCCCTTCCGTGGAAGAAAGAAAACCGCGCCATAAACTAGCTGCATGAAGCTCATCTCAGCTCTTTTCTGGTCTGGGCCACTGTCTCTAACGGAACATCTCAGTATCAGGCAGCGCCCCAGAGACCCTCAGTAGCTCATGTGTGATGTTTTCAAACTTGCCGTTGTTTTGAAACTTTGCCTTTTGTGGGATGGCGTGCCTTGGCCACCCCGCCTGGCTGGGAAACGTCTCTGTAGTCCCTGGGCTGGCAGCGTGCTAATCTTTCTTTCCACACCCAACGGCCGCTTACTTGTTTCAGGTTTATCAGTTCTTGTATGAACACACGCTGCCTGTGTGTTGTCACAGGGCAACTTACAGACTTGGTCCTCTCCTACTACGGAAAACTCGGAGATGAAACTCGGGTCTTGAAGGCTTGCTCCTTTACCCGTCTTACTTGCTCCTCATCTAGAATACTTCAAAAGTCCGAACCCACCATTAGGAGCTGGGCAGTTTTTGCCTGCCTGCAATTCCAGCCCTCAGAGGCTGAGGTAGGAGAAAGTTCAAAGCCAGCCTATGCTTTCAGAGTAAATTCTCTGCCAGTCAGCACAACATGGTGAGACCATGGGGACCCAGTCTCAAAGGGGGGGGGGGGGTAGGTGTGTTGTGTATTATAAAAATGTCAAAGAATAAATAAAAGATACTCTTTTAAAAACTAACTGTTTAGTTTTTCTAAAAACAAAAAACAGAACAGACTAGGGCCCAGCTCCCAGGGAGGAAGGAAGAACTTCCTGCCGCTCTCACTGATCTTATGACTCCACTTCCTGTTGTCCAGGCTCCTTGTTCTTTGACTCCAAATCTGTTCTATGCTTTCGTGCATTCTTCAATAGTTGGCTCAAAAGTTGCTCTCTTCATGAAGCTGTCTCTGAAACCCGCAGGCATAGGCAGAGGGAGTTCATTGCTTGGTTGTTTGGTTGGCTTTTGGTTGTTTTTTGAGACAGGGTCTTAGTCTAGGCTGGCCTTGAGCTCACTATGTAGTGGAGGGTGCTACTGAACTCCTGATCCTCCTGCCTCTACCTCCCAAGTGCTAGGAGTTCATTCTTCCTAAGATATTTAGTAAGCACCTTGATTCATGTTTGTAGCCCTATGTTAGGTTTACTGGCTCCTTAAATTTGGATTAAACACACAGAGACACACAGACACCCAAAAGGACATTTCTTCCATGTAACAGGCTGGCTACTGTCTGTATTCAATAGTAATAAATATTCCTTCAAATAGCCTGGTGCAGTAGAAGGATAAGCTTCTACTTGTTTGGACCAGACAAACACGTTTAGACCCTGGCCCGTCCCTTACTGTCTGACCCCCAACAAGTTTCTGTGTCTGTAACATGAAGATAGCAATGACCTTTGCAGTGATCACTGTCAGACTGAATGGATGCATTGTAGGCACGCTGTGGGAAAATGCTTTCTCATCTGTAAAGAACTACAAGAATGCAAGAGATAATGGTGCTAAGAGCAGGTGGAACAAAAAAGATAGAAACAAGACAGCAAACCTGCCAGCAAGTGACAGTCATTTAAACATTAGGTCATGAACAGCAAGCAAAGTGACTTCCAGGAAGTATTTTTCAGTGTTCTGAGGCTGTTCTGATTTTGGTTTTAGGGCTCAGTCAGTACACCCAGAAGAGGAAACACTGGGTACAACTGTCAGCGCTGCACAGTAGATTTAAGAAATGCATACACTTAGACAGAAGGAAAACCCAGGCGCACAGGGCGCCTGAAAGTGAGAACCAAGTTTATACAGAAGCTTGCCTACCAAACAGTTCATTTCATAAACACCGTAACAATGATAGTACTTTTAACTACTTTTTCTTTAAAAGAGTGGGGAGGGGGTGTGAAGATATAAATCCAAAGTTTATCCGAGAAGAGCGAGGCATTTTACTTCCCGTAATCTGCTAACTTATGGCCAGTTCCCTTTATGAGCACTGTCTCCGGCTTCCTTGAATAGCCACTCTCTCTGCGGTTACAGTTCGTCCTTCTGATCAAAGCGGGCTTCCTCTTTGCCCAGAGCCGTCCTCCCAGCGCTGTACTTCTGCTTGGGCTTTTCATCTGCTTCGTCGGACTGCTCTCCATCCTCCTCCTCGTCCTCCTCATCCAGCCCCCACACATCCTCTTGCCTGGCTCGCTCCTTCTCCCTCTTCTTCTTGGCCTCTTCCGCCTCCTTCTTTTTCTCCATTTCTTCATACAGCTCTCTCCACTGCTGTTCTATATCCTGTTTAGAAATGTGGGACTTCAAAGTTTCACATAAACAGAGAGCCCATTTTAGAAACATCTGTTGTCTTCCCATTGGCCTCAAGATTCCCAGGATGGTGTTCCTTTACATCTAAATTTCAGTACCTCTGGGGAGGGGAGAAATCTGTGTCTGGGTGTTGATGTATGGTTCCTTTGTAAATAAAATAGATTTGAAGCCAAGCTTACTGTTGTATCCCTGTAATCCTAGCACCTGGGAGATGGAGGCAGGATCAGGAGTTCAGGGTCATCCTCTGCTAGACAAGGAATTGAAGCTTGGCCTGGGCTACCTAGGACCCTGTCTCAAAATGAAAAACGTAAAATGAAATAAAAACTAAAGTAAAATAACTTTAGAATATAAAGTGGGCTGGCAAGAGGACTAAGTAAAGGTACTTGGTGTCAAACCTGACGACCTGAGTTTCATCCCTGTGGGGCTCACGTAATGAGCGAGAACCACACACATTCTGTGGCATGTGCATGAACTCACACACGAAGTAAACATAATAACAATGCTTAGGAATCAAATTATCTTAAAAATCAACTACTAAAATAAAATTAATCGATTCATCGTCTATTATTAGGTGTCTGTGTCACTGCTCACCACAGGCAAAACAATATTTGTGTGGTATTTGAATTCGTCACAGAGATCGTAACGTTATGCATCCCACTTTCTACGTGAGCCATCCAGTGTTTGGACTTCTTTCTAATTCATTCATTTGTTTATTCTGTTCCTGAGGCTGGGTTTTGCTATATAGTCCAGAATGGCCTTGAATGCTTTCTTTTTTTTTTTTTTAATTTTCTTTTCTTTTTTTTCCTTTTTTTTTTTTTTTTTTTTTTTTTGAGACAGAGCCTTGGCTGTCCTGGAACTCACTTTGTAGACCAGGCTGGGCTCAGACTCACAGAAATCCACCTGCCTCTGCCTCTGGAGTGCTGAGATCTAAGTTGTATTCCACCATGCCCAACTCTTGAACTCTTCCTTAATCCTGCCTCTGCCTCCCCCCTGTTGGGATTATAGGGTTGGATGTGTTAGCATGCCCAGCTCATACGGACTTTACATTTTGTTTTCCCTATACTGAATATAAGCCCTATGAAGATAGAAACGTCCCAATTTTATTTCATTGCTATGTCCCTAACAACTGCCATGGCAAACCAGTTCTTACCAAGTATCTGTCAAGTAAATGTATGGTGTAGCATGTACTGAACACATACAAAATATCAGGAGCTTAAAAGATAGCTGCTATCATTATTCCCAACTGAGAGAAAAAGGTTAAATAAATTGACCAACTTCATAGAGCTAGTCAGGGGTGGAGCCTGGATTTGACCCTAAGCAGTCTATCTAAAACATTCTTGCTCTTAACTAGTGTGTGTGTGTGTGTGTGTGTGTGTGTGTGTGTGTGTGTGTGTGTGT